GACAACCAATATTGTCATTTCCATTGCCGCGGTTCGCAATGACCATGATGTTCCATATTAGCGTCGTAACAATATAATAATGTATATTGATTGTTGATTAAAAAATGAGATAATCTATAATAATCTATAATAGTTTGACAAGAGACTAAAACAATTTTCATTGAAGATTATATTAACCATTATCGACAAAAGTATATTAAATCTATGTAATTATTGAATACAAACAATACATTCTCTTGTATATGAATTTTTAGATGATTACATTGCGATCAATTAATTTCCGGCATAATCATATTCATAATAGCAGAAATTTCAAAATAGTTGTTAAATATATTTTCTAATATATGATGAGGAAATTAAATACTTTTTCTTGAGTAACTTTTTCATTGAATCTTCCAATTATAATTTACATCAATTCAAATCTATGTTTTCTTTATCTTAGAATCTTAATCTTTTAAAATACATGAAGTACATCTTCATTATCAGAATTAATAGAGATTAATAGAAATTTAAAGAAAAAATTTTTAATAATGGAATAGAGTTTTTTAAAAAAAATTATTTTATATTTTGAAAAAAATAATATGTTTATTTAGGTACAGTGAAACTTTTATTATTCGTTCTAATATAGACTTTTTGCTATTCTAATATTTTATTATTCAAACATTATATTTTACTATTTCACTATATTAATACTAATTTAAATTGTTATATTAAATAAAAAGATTGCAATAAAAAAAATAAATTATGAAGATATTCATATTTAAAAATTTTTATTAGAAAAAATATTAATATATTTTGAGAAACAAATAGATTATAATCAATATTCAATACATTAAAAAGTTTATATGATTTAGTAGTAAAGGAGAAATGGAATAAATAATTAAAAGAATATTCATTAGTTTTTTTATACGAAACTTCCAAACAATCATGTCTCCCTATTAGTTTGGATATTATTAGATTTCAAATATACTTCAAATTAAGATCTCTTTATTTATTCAATTTATAATTAAAATCTCTTTACTGTGGTGGTATAATAATGTTTATATTTTACAGCTTTAATTTTATTATATTTTCTGATGTGCATTTCGTAAATAATTTTCAATTTTCTCTCTTGTTTCTTTCATGCTAGAGATAATGAATTTCCTAATATTATATTATATATTTGCCAATTTTATAACATCGTCCTTTAATTTCTTAAATATTATTGATTTTGTTTTAGTAATTAATAAAAAATTTATGTTTTCACAATCTTATTACATTATATGTATCGTATGAACATTGTCTAATATTAATTTCAAATTAAATTGTCATTTTGCTATAATTGCTATAGTAATGAAAAACATTTGTTTATATTATGCTATATATTATGCTTACATAATAATAATTCATAAATAATTTCATTACATAAAAATAATTCAGAACCGAACATATAGAATGTAGAAAGTAAAGTAGAATTTTTAAATAAGGCAATAATAGAGATTCTATTGCATATTTGTTATATGATCAAAACTTTTGAAATTAATATACAAATAAATTCTGTGTATTAGATAATATTATTGTTGTATTTAGAATTTTAATATAAATTTAATAAAATTTTTTCATAAAAATGGAATATATATATATATATATTATAATTTTATTATAAGGAAAGAAATGCATTAGGCATTTTATATTTTGATACATATAAAAAAAATTATCGATATTATTGAAATTTCTAAAAAATAAAAAATTTTTTAAAAAATATTTTCTAACAATATTATTAACAATTTATAATATTTAGAATAGCATTTTTTATATTAAAATATATTTATTTCAGACATTTATTTCAAAATATTATTTTGTATATAATTGTTTATAATTGTATAAATAACTATAAAAATATATATTCAAAATACTATCTTTTTTATTTAAATATTATTTTAAATAAAATTTATTCGCAAAAATCCTTAATTAATATTACTTCTTTGATTTTCAATTAAATCCTACAAAATTAATTGACGAAAATTGGCATTAGATTACAACAAGAAGAGAATGAGAAATGAAATAGATAAATATTATTATTCTTTTAAATGATAGTGCTTTCAAATAGTATTTGATTTAATTATGAAATGAATTAATATTTTTATATTATTTGACTTAAATTAGAAATATATTATTTCTAAATACTATTCATTTATGAAAATACTTCAGCTTTTAATATTTATTCTTAATAATAAAATTATTTCAAATTTTTTCAATTTTAAAATGTAGACTTGATTGATTGATTGATAGCGTAACACTAACATGATTAAATTTATATTTAAAAATACATAAATTTAAAATATTATAATTTAAAATATTACATTACAAATAAAACGCGTAATTTGCTCCTAAATAAATTCTACTAAACAATCAATTTTGAAACGAATACTAAAATATAATGTTTTAGTTATTTTGAGTGATGTATTAGCTGCTCGTATTAAAGTTTATCCAAAGTTTCAACGATAAAGTTTTCTTCAGTATTAAATTAAGAAATTTTGTAAAAAAGTCGATAGAAAGTTGACAAAAACTTTAAAACGATATAAAATTAACTTTCACGATCAAATTTCGAAATAATAGAATGAAAAAGAGTATAATTAACATAACATTTAAACTATAAAAATGAATGTAAAATATTTCGTACTTAATATTAAAGATATTTAAGAAATTTTTATTTGATTTAAAATTTAATCAAAAGATCAAGTCTAATAAAAAAATTTGAAATAAATAAAAATAAATATTTTTATTTCTTTAAATATATGTATGATACAGAATTTTATAAATAAATTTTCTAACATTTATCTAAGATATAAAATAACATTTATATAAGAACATAGTATTTAAAATATATATTATATATTTTAATACTATCAAATATAATAATAAAAATAATTCATAAGACTGACTAAATATTTTATTAAAGTCTAAAAAAATAAGTATTTCAAATATTTTAATAGTATTTGAAATAAACAGTTCTTTTACATTTAATATTTTATAATACGATATTAATAAGTCACATTATTGCATATAATTTATATACGAATTAAACATTTTTAATATTTATATTGAAATTTCTATCTTTCATTTTCGATTAATTATTTTTTATTTTCGAATTATAAATAGTATTTGATCTAAGTATAAAATGAAATAATATTTTTAAATTATATTCAATTCTAATAGTATTTTTAAATTTGATTAAATAGATTTAATAGATAGATTAAATAGAATTTTCAAATAGTATTTGTTTAAGAAAATATTTTAATTGTTAGTATTTTATCTCAAATTTATAAATTTTGTGTAGATTTTTGTTAAATTAAATATAAAGAACAAATATAAACTTATATATAATATAAAATAAGCGTGATCTATTTTTCTTAAATAAATAATATAAATCATTTATTAATAATATAACAAAAAAAAATAAAAATAAAAAAGTTCAATACAAAAGCAAAAGTATTATTCTCTAAGAAATTAATTCAAATAAAGATAAAACATATATTTTAATTTCTACAAAATAATTTCACAAATTGCAAAAATTAATCATTAATTATTATAAGATATTAATATATTGGATTGATGATAAAATATTTTATTATCTTTAATATTATAATATTATAATATTAATTATAATATTATTGATTTTATGAGACAAATTAAATCAATTTATTGTAATATATCCAATATATCCTGAATATAGAAATATTATATATAAGTGTTATAATTATTCAATCTATATGAATTTCTATATTTAAACAAAAATAGAATTTTGTAAACATAAAATATCATTCTCATAAAAGTTAACTTATCATCTAAAAGTCAACTTATTTAAAGAATGATATATAATGATATATATAATGATATATAATATATAATTTAAAATTATTAGTTATTTTAAAATCAAAAACTAATTTTTAAATAAAAAAAATAATTTTGCTTCAATCCAAATATCAAAATAATAATTAAGAAAGTTTCTATAGAGAAAAGTTGATTAAAAAATTTTAAAATTAGCAACATTACGATATTAAAGATTTCTATTATATAAATTCATTACTATATCTTTTATTCTTTTATAAAAGTAACAAATTTTTAATAATAACATTAAAAATTAATAGTAATAAAAGTTTTGTTATAAAATTGTTGCTTTAGAAAAAATTAGAATTAGAAAATAACAAAAACTTTTTAAGAACATAGTATATACCGATTGTCTTTCAATCGATTTTATCGATATTGTTTCATAAGAAAGACACTCGGACCAAGAAGAAATTTCATCTTCTAAATTATATTTGATACAATATTTTAAACAATTCGATTTTTCGCATATAGATGACTACCAAGGAATAAATTGAATTAAAGAATGAGTGAATCCTTTGATCCTTTTGTTTCATATCTAAAAACGTTTAAGAATAGTAGAACTTTTTAAAATAAGAATAAAATCACTTTTATATCAATTTCGTATTTATAATTATTCGTTATTTTATTCTTTCTTTCTGAAAAAGAAGAATAGAATGAAAATAGAATTTATTTTTCTCTTATAACTCAAAATTTAAAAGAATTCAAAAACTTGAATTCTGTTTTTTTAAATAAATCAAATAAATTAATAATATAAAATAATTATATAAAATAATTAAAAAATATATCACTAATTATTATATTGTATACAAAATAATATATTTTAATAAAATTTCAATTTTTTCTGAAAGAATTAAATTCTAAATTGAACAATAATAAAAATTATTAGAGAATAAAAAATAATTATTCTATTCAAGTGTATATTTTCTCCAAAAAATATATGTTTAAAATTTAAAATATTTTATTTTCATTGAAAATTAATAATAAATTCTTAATAAGGATTTAAATTATTAAATTCTTAACTTATTTATTCAAATATATACAAATTAAAAATTAAATAAGTATAAATAAATTTTAAATTTACATATATGCTTTTTTCAAATAATTATTATTAAATTTAAAATTAAGTTTTTTTTCGTAAAAATTAAAAATTTGATTTGAATAAATTTTTGTTACAGATGATGTGAACATTAATAAACAAAACAATCAAAAATATAACATGGGGGACGAAATATCAATATTTTTAGTGATGTTCCTTGCAATTGGCGGTATAATAATGATGAGCGCATTGTTGGTCTGCTATGCCTGTATCTTTCGTGATCTGTGTTGTAGAGAGGATAGATCAAAAAGAAGACAATCTCAAAGTCCTCATCATGAACCCGATGATCCTAACAGACCCAGATTGGATGCAATACTTTTAAACGATATTACACAAGGAGAAAGTATGCCTACTGAATCTGAGAAAGTTTAATAAATAAAAAACAAAATGAAATTAATATCAAAAACCAAAAATTTTGAACATGATATGGTAATATTAGGAATTAATTAAACATGAATTAAGAAACATTAAAGAAAGTCTTTCATTATTAGTGATTGTAAATATAAAGTATAAACAAACATAATTTGATTTTTATTTCAAATTACTATGTTACGGATTAATGTATTATGTACATATTCAAATACATTTATATATGTATATACATTGTATATTATATATATGCAGTAAATTTCATATAATAAAAAATCTCTGTTAAAAATATTTAACATTTTTTTTTTTCACCAAAAAACGACACGCCATATTATATTATGGTTGTATCTATAACATTAGTATATAAAATAAATTTCTATTTATATTTCTTGTACAATCATTATGTCATCCATATTGTATATAATATACATATTCCCATCCTTTTTGGTAACTCTATTTAATAATTGGTCTAAGTACCCGCGAATAGATTTTATAAATGTATTATTGTGCAATCACAATCGTCTAGTAATATATTCGACTAGCTGATTTGGCTATTAAGTTGCTGCAGTACTGACAATACTACTTCACGTAAAGTCTGCAATATTTAAAATATATTTATTTAATTCTATATTTGATTTTGAAGATATATTTTAAAAAATAATTTAGTTACTTGAGGTTTACAATGTTCTTCCAACCAACTAAATACACATCCTGATAATTCTGCAAAATTTGCTACTGAAATATTATTGAATGTTTGGAACAAACGATCCATAATTGTCTGAAACTATAATAATAAATATTTTATTAAATATTTTCAAAATTCATTATTTTAAAATATTAATTTTTTAAAATAATTGTACAACACACTTTATCTTACCACTTGAAATTTGGTTTCATCAGATACACGCATTTCTGCATGTCCTGGTTGAGTTTGGTGAGCTTTCACAATCTGTTCATAATTAGCTTGCATAATGCGTAAAGCAACAACTTCTTTTCTTAATGCATTACGTTCTTCTTCTTGTTTTTTCTTTTGTTGCAATAAAAATTGAATATAATCAATAGATTTTTGAAGTACAGTAGCCTTAGAAAGTTTATAACCTGAAGAGTCAGTATGTTGACAAGTAGGAACCAAATCTTGTAAAGAATCATATCCCTTTTTGATAGCATCTCTTCGTTTTTGTTCTGCTTGAGTATGAGCCTCTCTCCTACGTTCTTTATAACTTATAGTTGAATTTTTATTATCACTATCTTCATCCTCTATAATCAATTTTACAAATTTAATTTGTAAATATTATTATTATTGTGTTACATATTATTATTATTATTTCAAGCTTAATATAATTACAAAATACATTTACTGTATTTATTAAAATTTCTTACCAGTATTATGAGCAGATGAAGATGGTGTATTTACTGAGCCAGTACTACTACAGCGAGAAAATGTATATTTTTCTGTTGGACTAGATGGTTCAAGTTTCATATCATTATCTCCTCCTATATTACCACTTCCACTACGCATTGCTAAATTTGCTATTTTTATAAAATATATAAAATATAATTTGCAATACTCTAATATTTTATATACAGTATAAGTAATAAAAATGAGTTATTTTCATTTCAAGTTATAAAACATTAAATACATAAATTATAATATAAGAAAAAGAGATAAGATCATAAAAATATAAATTTATAAAGCTAAAAATATAAAATTTAATTCTTCACTCACATATCTCATATCCATCTTTATGTAATGTATCTGCCATCGTATCAATTTATTTGTCGAAAAAGAAAAAATAAAATATAATTAAAACGTGCACGTGGGAAGGTTACAACACAGTTGCAACAAGTTAGATGCACCAAAAGTATATCGTAACTGATCACGGATATCCATAAAGATTCTATCAATTAATTCAATAATATCAATCACGTTAATAAATACACATTTCGAAATATTTTATAAATCTATAAAAAACACAATTGTAATGCTATAAATATTCCAAAATTATTTCGTAACATTAATATCTGTAGATACTGCCATCTTTAACGGAAATGCACTGATGAGAGAATGGTCGATGATGGAAAAACAGGGTCGCCACCTATCGAAACAAAGAAAGTACAATCTGTCAAACAAGACCACGTGTTCGCCCAGCAGACGAAAGTGAAAGTCAAGGTTACATTAGACTGATTGAGTAGTTTAATATGTACTTTCAATAAAATTAAATTTAATATTTAATTATATTTAATATTCCTTTTTTCTTAAATATAATATAGAAAACATTCAACAGTATTTTTTTATGTTAAATTACGTTTATTATAAGGTGTATCTAATATATATATTTACAATCGTTTTAATACACGTAAAACCATTTAAGATAATTCATATTTTATTCGGCGGTACGACGTTTCGGGCCGTAACGCTGGCAATTGTATTCCTATGCAGTTTTTTCTCCTATATATAAATTTCAAAGTACACGTATGGTATCTCCATAATTGCTTATTGTGTACTTGATTCGGAGACCATTTTACTTGCTAATACACAGATACTGCAAATGAACATGGTCCTTGGATTTATAATCATCATGAATGAAAATTGAAAATTATCATTCCTGTGCTCATATTGTTAAAAATGCACAGTACTACTAATTAGGAAATTATTCTACTTCTAATTGTGTATTCATTGTTATATTTTCGATTGTATATTCTTAGTAGATTCTTAGTAGATTCATATATGTAGTACACAATGCTACATTTGTATTTTTCGGGGACGGATAATGTCGGAAAGCCAATGAGTGTAAACTATTTTAAGATAATAAATTGGCAATGTGTATCATCGGAAGTGTAAATATTTCAGTGGGAATACATTTAGTTATTGATTCATAAATACAATTTTCTGAAGACTGTATACAGGATGCTGTTACATTCAGGGGCCTAAATATAATTATGTAAAATTGAATCTTATTACACAGTTTTTTCCATATTTTCATTCGTTCATGTTTTTTTTATATTTTTTTTTGTTTTTTTTTTTTTATTTTTTTCGTTTCTTATTGTTTAATCCGTCAGAATTATTCGCGATATAAGCATACAATGCAAGCATTTCGAAATTTCCGACATGGCGCTAAATTACGCCCGCCCCCGCAATCCTATTGAACATAACATTAAGTAAAATTCACATATTTTTTTATTTTTATTTCATTTCTCATTTTTAATCATTTGTTTTGTAGCCAGAAACGCCCCACATGTATTTTACTTGAATAAAGGTCACTTTCCCGCAGTTAAATCGATAAAGCATCACATCATAAATTCTCATTAAGTTTGAATTTAGTATTTTTAATATATATATATATATATCACGCGCGCGCTTTATTACTCTCGCTCAATTTCTCACATACATGCGTGCTCATGACGTACTTATTTCCGTCCGCTCGCTAAGTTCATTTTTTCCTTTTTTTCTCCTAATTAATTTTTGACATCGATAAAAAATTATATATATTTCGATAATTATTTCATTATTAATTAATTATTATATCTTATTGTTCCATTAAAGTTTAAACTAAACTGCTCTGTGTGGTATGCATATCGTGGCAAGTACCGCACTCATATATATAATATATATATATATTTAATAATAAAGTATTATTTACTTATTATCTTTCGCTCTCTCTCACTCTTTCTGCGTATCTTTTACATTTATTACTAGAATCATGAATGATAATTAACTCACAATATTTCAAACTACATTTCTTTGAGATTAATTAGGTGGTGCAAATAATGTTAATTAATTGAATCTACGCAGATCGATCATCAAGCATCGCGCAGGGTAATCCGTCCGATCTTAAAAGAAATTGCGTGAACACGAAATTTGTATTGATTGTATATTATGATTAAATTATGATTAAATAATCATTAATTTTTTTTATATATATTTTTTACTGTACTTTTTTTTTGTAAGAATGGCGCGGAATTTGTAATTTCTTTTTTTAATCAATATGATTGATAAATTAAAAAATTAATATTTCGAAAATATTTAAAAACAATCTAATAATAATTTTCCTATAAATAATTGATCCTATAAATTATTTCCTATCGCTATTAATATTGCAATATACACCATCTCATGAAGAAAATCATTCGAAGGATGGCGTGTCAAAAAAAAATAACTTCGATTAAGGTATTTCAGCATATTTTCATTTCCTCCCCAACTTCGTATTTTTTAAGGCTCACAAACTTTATATTATTATAATTGTTTTGATTTCATATAGGTGAGCTGCTCTATTAAATTAATTTCTTTAATTACAAATTCATTTATTAATAACCTGAAAAAAATAAATCAATATATCACATATCATTATGCAAAAGCAATTCAATTTTTCAAGCCTTTGACTTTCACTATTCATTTTGTATAACATAACATGAAATGGTATGCACAAACCGTTTTTACAGAAAAATTGTTATTTCTTTTCTTTTTTTTTTTGTTTTGTTTTTTCTTTCTTTAATTGAGCAGACTTAGATAAATTAAGAAAGTGATATGAATATTGATGAACTTGGAGTACCTGCGCGAACTAATCCCACTCAGTCCTCTCAGGTACTTATTCATTGATACTGCAAAATAAAATTTGCTACAACCATGTCTAATGTCCACTCGAAATTTTATATAAAAATCTCTAGCAAGAAACAATTCTTGCCTAATTCATCAAATTTAATTATGTTTATCTAATTCAAAGCTATAATAAACAATAAAATATAAAATATGAAACAAGAATTTTCGTAATTTAAATAGAGAAAATATTTTTCATTTGATTAAATTTTGCATTTCTGTATTTGTTCTTGCATATTGTCTAATAGATATTAAATTAAGCTATTAAAAATAAAATATTTAGAGCAAAATATTACGGCAAAAAAATGTTACACACGTTAGCAAAGTAAATAATGAATAAGTGCATCTATTGTGACAAGGAATACAGAAGGTGAATTATTGCTTTGTTAGTCAAACATCACCATATGATGTTTATTTGTTCTATTAACACGATATTGTTGTAAAATAAACATTTTATACAAAATTCAATCCTTCTGTTTTCCTTGTATACCATTATGGAAATAATAATTAAAAAAGGTTTGAAAAAAGTAGTTCTTTTGTTGCTTTACGAACGACACGAATGATCAGCTATCATTTAGAATTTATAGACGCCACCGTGTGTGACAAATCCGTCCGTAATAAAATAGGAAAATCAATCGCGTCAATTTCTTTCGCGCGGTAACCATGGCTAGAATT